CTAAACGAGGAATATTTGTTCTGAAATCAAAAAAATTATTCTTTATTTTGGTATTATTTTTTAATCACATTAAAAAATTGAATTGCTTTATATTTTTGTGACTATCTCATTTACTTCCTCAATTTATTAAAATGACGTTATTTAATTTATTTAATACAAAAACATAATACACATAAAATAATAATATTTATAGATTTGTGTAAACACTTCTTCGTAAAGTAACTGTATGTATACATATATACATATAGATGTAATATAGATATTTATTTTAGACACTTACTTTATAAGAAGATCTCGAGAGGAACGATACTCCGCAATCTTCTGGCTTCGAAGAAACCATCCCTATGGTGACTGTAGACCATGCCATTAAACCAACACCTAAAACAATTGTCAATTGAATTTCGAAAATATCATTGTAAAAATTTCTTTTTATGATATAGATATTTCATAATATTATGTTTTATTAATACGTTAATTGCCACTATATGATTAGACTTTATCCGCGACGCGCTATTTTTATATATATCAACATTTTAGTACTTAACACAACGATATAAGAATAATAAGACTAAGAAATAAATAAAAGCTCGAGACGTAAATATAAAATATTCTTTAATAAAGATACAAAAAACGGAACGTGTATTTTGATATACTTAATTATATTTATTCTTTATCAAAACTCAGAATAAAATTTTTATTTCTTTTCAAAACATTGAATTAAATAGCTGACGTTTATCTATAAATATCAATCATCAATTACGAAACTACGAATTAACTCATATCTAGCAGTCAATGTATTAAAGACAAACAAGAAGGTGGATTGATTACCAATTTTGTTATATAATTCTGGCATATAGAGTTCAGGTTTCTCTCTGTAAAACAGATGATATTCCGCTTGTTCGACGATAGGCGTCACGCAATTAAATTGCCGACAGTTCGTATAGGCTTCCATAATTTCCACGGGTGTCCATCGCGATGTACCCCAATACATCACCCAGCCTTTGCTTATAACATAATTCATCGCGCGAACGATTTCTGGAATGTAAGATCACACGAATACGTGAGATACAGGGAACACAAACAAGATTTTTTTTATCGCGAGAAATTATTGTCAGATACACGATAAATGATGCAAAGTCGATGCGTGAATCTCTACTTTTACGATGAAATAACATCTATAAAGAAAAAAAAAAAAGAGAGCGAAAGTGTGTTTCAAAGCGTGTGAGGATAAAGGTAAAATAGCTAGATAGTTCTCTTGCACACATTTCTCGCATAATATAAAGCATACATTAACGCGATACGTAAACATAAGAAGTTTATACATATTTACAACAAGAAAATAAATATAAAAAGTATACATAAATATTTATATTTATACATATAAATATTGTGTACATATACAACCATGTAGAATACATATATTTTTACAACAATGACTTTCCATTTTCACATAAAAATACCGAGTACAGAAAGAAGCACACGATAACTAGTACGGCACAATGCAACTGCCAAACATCAAATCATCATCACAGTACAGATTCTTTGTGACTTTATTTACTAGTTTTTAGTTAGTTCTTCAAGTTATGTATGGACTAAGATTTTTTGTGGAATTGAATTACATTATACAATTTAAAACTATAATATAGAATAACGTGTCAAATTTTGAACTGAAAAAAAAAAATTCTTATTTTTATTAATTATTAAATAACTTTTCTCTCGTTCTACGATGAATGCATTATATAATACTATGGATTCAATATCAATCCAAAATCCAATCTTAAAATGCCAATTGTACATATAATATGCATATTCAAAACGGTTTATATTTCGATCTTGTACATGCATGCTATCAGACTAATGATTCCTTTTTATAATTTGAAGAGTTTATATTCGACTTGTAGACGACCTTGATAAGTAATTTTACCTTTATCCAAAAAAAGCAAAATTATTATAGGACATTCTTATGGGAAACTACTTTTAAATCTATTATTGATGAAAAATGAGATGTTTTAAGCTCTTAATATTTAAATTAATGAAAAAGTCTAATAAAAATCATAAACTATTTATAATAATCGATTATAAACTTTTTAAACTGAAATTAAATAAAGATTATTGAAGATTATTTTCCTAGGAGAAATTGAAATAAATTAAAAGCACGCGTAACAAATCTAATAAAATTTAAGATAGACAAGATAAAAAAGCACAACATTCTGATAACACGATAATGTTTTCTTAAATCTAATTTCAATATTAACTTTTCAATATTAAATAATCATCTCTCTTCGCCTTCTTACAGCAGAAACAATAAAAATGTGTTTCTCTTCTCTACTCATGCTAAATTGTGCGTTATCGTGACGGGCATCTTCATGTAAAGTTATTGTCGGAATTACAGTATATATCACAGTATCGTAGCACGCTTTGTGCAGTGAAGTGCCGTAAGTGTTTGAACGATGGAATGGAGACGAGGAAGAGAGAGAAAGAGAGAGAGAGAGAGAGAGAGAGAGAGAGAGAGAGAGAGAGAGAGAGAAAGAAAGAGAGAGAGGATTCGAATTTTTGAATATTACTCGCAAGAGAAAGAGGAATTGGAAAGTTACCTTCCATCGGACACATTGGATCGACTTTGTGGATCATGACAATATCGATGTACGACAGTTGCAGCCTGACGAGCGAAGCTTGCACGGACTCGATAATGTGTTTCCGCGATAGCCCGCGACCCTCGGTCCTATTCAAGAATAGGCAGATATTATCAATCTTATTAGACGCTGCAAACGGAATTAAATAGTAGTAGAGGGATCATAAGAGACAGATGAGACGTGTGCGGGGCGACACGTTATGGCACGTTTCCTTGCTTCCTTCACCGTTACACGATGCACGTTATCGAACACGAACCGAAACAACAACGGCAAAATAACGATGGCTCGATGCATGAGAACCTAGTTATCGATCCACGTGTCAAGGCGAAGCCTCATATTCGCGCCATCCACTTGATATTAAACGAGGCCGTCTCGTACCGAGATTCACTTCTGCACGATGTGTCTCCCTATCGAGTTCTACAATCCTAAAAATAAAAACGATGCAACTTACGGATGCCTGGAATAAAACCGTCGCCGACTAATTATCGATGACACGCCGTTTGTAATCCACGCGTAAAAAAGTGTCTTGAGGAAAGGTTCTGTCTTTTTCTGTGTATCGATATATAAGAGGTATAACATGATCAGTAAATACGATACGTGATAAGGTATCAAAATAGCCTTCAAGTTACTAATGACTGGCAAGAGTTTTTTTTTTTATCGACAAGAAAAGAATTAAACTCTGTTATTTCGTGAAATCGGAGATTAGTTTTAAGATATAGTTTCCCTTATAATATTTCTTTAATGACTGTATAAAATCATAAAAAAGAATTTCGGAGATTTCTTTTTTAAAGAAAACCTTGTCGATTTTCCTCCATTTATCTACTTTTACGATTTGGTATACAAGCATTACGCACAGTGTCTAAGCATCTCATGCTTAGTGTACACAGAATACGCTATTATTATAAGCCCAGCTAGAAATGATTAAAAACGATCGAGTCGACGTTGACTGGATGTCGATGCGTCAATAAATAGTCAATGTCGCAAATATTGGTTGACATTTTTATTATTATCGGCTTCATAATTGTTGGTACATTAATTGAGCAGTATTGCTATAAATGTTCTATTTTCCTTCGGTCAATTCTACATCGAATTGACGCAAAGTTGGAAAGTATAGTACGTGTATATCCACAGAATACGAACATTACATCAATACTATGAGTTTCTACTCAACAATGCTATGTACAATATATATACTTATTTCATATAATTTCCCACTTACCAATATGGTAACAATATAAAATAATATAATACATATACATATGAAAATATAATTGATGTAGTTACTACATACAATACCTATATTAGTTGTACTGTTCTGCGGAATACTGTATATTCGATGACAAATTGGTCGAAAGTGAACAAAAATCTTCTAGAAATATTTTCGCATTTTATACTGAATTAACGTAAGAACAATTGTGACGAGGTCGAAGGTGACAAAAATATCAACTAGCATTCGACATCGGCAATTCAACTAACGTCGATTCGATTAATCATTTCTAGCTGGCAAGGATACGCGAAGGATAAAGTACGCAGGCCGACGGACGAGTATAAGTTCGATTACACTGAAGCCATCGATCGAAAAGCATTCACGTATGAAGAAAGAAAGAAGAAAAAAAAAAGAAAAAAAGAAAGAAAAGAAAGAAAGGAAGGAGAAGAAAGTAAAAAAGAAAAAGAAAGGAAAAGACCGCGCTTTCGCGTGCAGTAGCGTTACAACATCGAGAGCCACCGAGAGCACGTCGAGAGCCACTACCCAGCTCCACTATCATCAATGCTCGCTAAAACACCACCATCAATGACGACGACGACGACGTTGACGAATAACGACGCCACCAATGACACCGAGACACGCGCGAAGACACTGGACGGCGCTCTACTCACTTGGTATTCCAGTAAATTTTCGTCGTGACGACGTAACTGGAACGGTTCCAGGCGCGTCTCAGCAGGATACGGCCGAACTGGATTTCGGCGCGGTGGCCGCTGTGCGCCTCGCTCAGGTCAAATACATTAATTCCGCTATCATAGGCGAGAGCCACGACGGCCTCCGCGGTCTCCTCGTTGCTGCAGCCGCCCACGCCGAATGTGGTCCACGTTCCTGTATACCCATAAAACCAAATCAAGCGACATCGGCGACCTGCATTTTGCGCCTCGTTCTTCCAGGATCGCGCAACCAATTACATCTATCTCTAAACGGAGCCTTATTCCATCGGAAAATAAGATACTGGCATGCAAGATCGGCACGGAAATAGACTCGGTTGGTTTTTAGCTATTTTTGAGGGTTTCCAAGAAATAATAGGAGTGCTTATTATTGTGCTTTTTTTTTATTATATATATAAAAAAATAAAACAATAATGATACACTGTTAAATGTCATAATGTCAAATTGTATCTAATTTCAGTTATTTTTCATTATTTCTATAGGACACTATTGCACCTGCCTCCTACACGATGTGTCGTTAATTTAACTGAAATAAGAGAATTGAGTCATTTAATTAAAAAAAATGTATTAAATTTGAATTTGATTTATTATTTATTATATGCACACATTAATATGAATGCTGTTTACTTCGAAACTAACCAGAAATTAATTGATTTTGACGCACGTGGAAAAAAATTGTTAAAAATAATAAAATGTTATTTTTCAACTCAAGTAATTGGGTTACCATTGCTTATTTGATATTTAACAGCGTAATACCGATAACGACCATGTTCCAATATACACTGCCAATACTGGAAATCTATAGTTTACGGTTACGTGTATTATAGATTTTCAGTATCGGCAGTGTATATAGAGGAACACGACCAGAGACGACCCACCAAATTGCCGTTGTCAATTATAAATTAAGCTTAAAGTACGGAGTTTCGTGTTGCTAGCTCTGCCATGCGATTTGTCTAATTCGTTTCTTGAGTCTTTAAAGTCTATTAAGCCTAATTCTACAGCACCTATTAGTAAATTGTTTTAAATTCACGTTTCAAACATATCCAGCCGGTTTTGCTGGCGTAAAATTACTGCAAAGAAAGATATGAAGCTTTTAAGAAATTATAAGTGAGATAATTGTGGAATCAGAATAAATTAACATCACAAAGTAACATCGTGAGAGTATGCTCCTTAATTTGTACTTTAAATAGTAGATGCATATTAGAGGTTTAAACATGCTTTTTATAAAAATTTGTTTTTTTTTTTTGCAAAGAAAGAAGATAGTTATTGCTAAATCACATAATTTTTTATTATAATATTTTATTATTCTTTGTCCTTTCCTTTTTAGTCATTTTTTTTTTAATAAATATGTTTGCTACTTTTTCAATCTTTTTTCAACTCTATCTTGACCACATTCTACCCTTATTTGCTTTTGCGTTTATTAAGCTTAATTTTCTCATGCTCGTTTCTACCACCGCAGATTAACTTTAATCTCGGTTTAACTTGCTTTTTATCTTTTCCTAGTTCTAAGAATTAGAAAAGGATAAAGAGTAAATTAAACCAAAATTAAAGTTAAGCTACATTGGTAGAAATGGACGCTACTGTTACGATTTTTAATGTAAAAAAGTAAATATACGGTACTATTTTCTTTTCATTTTAAAGAAAATGTTTGTGTAAGAAATTAGAATTCGGTACGGAAGAAAAATTTGTAATTAAGCGTTTATTCTTGAACTAGATATACGTAGCGAAACGTGTTTGCATAAACAAGTACAATCCATTCTACAATTACGTACTTGCAAATAACTGTAGTTATAAAAATTAATCATTTTCATAGTTGAACATGAGAAAAATATTCGACTGTTAGTCATTTCTTACAACTACGGTCACTCACAATTACTACGTTCACGCAATTATATTATAGAACGGACTTGTTATTTGAATTGCGTGTATTTGAACCACCGAACGCAAATTGGCTATAAATCATAGACCGATATTCACACACACACACACATATATAGTAAAAAAATATTTTATATTTGTGTTGAATTTTTAACATATTTAAATGTTAATTTAATATAATGTGACTATGTTATTTAAAGATTCCGTGTTAAATTGATATTCGATATTTATAAAATAAATATGTAAATAAACAAGTATAAAAATAATAGTATTTTTAAAACGTAAATTCTAAGATAAATGAATGAAATATGTATTTGTTTAACATATGATAAATATTAATTATACTGAAAAAAATATGTTTCCACAGTTTGCTTATAAATTGTGTGTTTTTTTGTGATAATTTTTTACATAATATTTATGATATTTTCTAGCATATTCATCTTGCGTTAAATTAATACAATTAAAAAGTTGGAATGAACCGTTTTGGGCACGTGAAATGTATTAAATTTAACACAAATTTTACAATATAGTCCGTTTGTATATTTAAAACCGTCTTAAACACATTTAAGTAATTTTAAACAAATTAAAAATATCATAAGCTAATCAAAGACATTACTTAAGACAATCTTAAAGTAAGAACGGACTATGAGCACCAGCCTTAGTGCATGTTATATATCCGCGTCCGCAACGAAACCGTGGCGGGTGGGCGCGTTGTAAAAATAAATAATGAAAACTTGGAATCCAACAAGCGGGTGGTATTGGATGGACCACGATAAAAGTCCGAGATAGCCGGTAGCGGATGCACTTTCCGGGATCGATTCGGCCGCAGATATATCTATCGCCCTATGAGAAATGAGAGGGAGGGTCTAGGAACAATATATATCTCCCTTCGAAGAGAGATAGCATTCACGCGTTCAGAGATCTCAGAGAAGATGACTCTCTACGTGATTAGAGGCGAAATATACATTCAGCGTACCTAATCCAACATTGGAAACACGTAGACCGCTTTTGCCCAAGTTGCGGTAGCGAATACCTGGCGAGGGGTGCTGCAAACGTTGCGCTTGTGCGGCAATGCAGCTAGTTAGTAGCTGTTCTTTCGTTCCGGTCGTGTTGCTGCAGTGCACGCCCGAGTCTACGCCGCCGCCACCGCCGCCGCCGCCGCCGCCGTTGAACTCTTCCATGCAATCCAAACTTGCTATGGGTGCACGGCAGCTGCGCATACAACGTGCAAGAGTTATCGCGTATCGATGTCGATATACGTTGCTGTATTGTACGTCCCGTGTGACTATCGGTCGATCGGGACGTCCTAGGAGCACTGGATGGTACGATCCAGAAATTCTTCCTTAGACACTTTCCAATGTCCAGGGAAGTTGCAATTACCGTGCGCAAGTTCTTCCCTTCTTTTGAAAATCTTTCTTCAACCCTTTTCAAAGCCTTTCGACTTTCTAATTTCGAAGTGTAATTTTAAATGTCTCGATAATTTGTTATCGAGTTAAATATTCGCTGAAAGGAAACTCGAAATGGGAAACTGATTGAATAGCAAAGTTTCGATATATCGTTAAGACTTATCTCATTGAAACTTTAGAATTTTTTTAATGAAATTATAATTAATTACATTTTCATTTAATTCCAGAATTAAATAAGATTGTAGGTAATAACTATTTCAAAATTTTCGTACAAGTGGAATTCGAGCAAATACAAGTTCCAGGATAAAAATGTTTGTTTAATAATTCTATTTATTAAATAATTGTATTATTGTTAATATTGTTAAGATAGTTGTCATATCTTTTAATTTATGCTTTAGTTCACAATCAGCGATTAAATATTTAGTTGCTCTCGCATTATCTCAGTACTTTGTAATAAAAAAATGTGAAAGAAGAGCCACTGCTGTGGCAGTTAGTGCAGTTAACAGTGCGAACTTATGTATTGTGTTTATTATAATTATAAAGACGTAGATGTATATAATATTTAGACGTTCAACTCATCTTCAATATAAAGTAATACTTTGTCTTACTACACGAGTTCATTATAACTTCGGTTTCTCCAAAGTTTTCAATTACATCAATAATTCTGATTAACGTTAAGTCAAGCTTGGAAAGATTTTTTATTTTTATCTCAAACTTTATTTAAATCTCAAACTTAAATGTATCTGAATATCAGCAGAAATCATTTGTATCGTAAATCCAATGATTTTTTTAAATCGCACTAGAAAAAAATGTTTTATTCTATGAATCGAAATTTTACTGATAAAATATTCAGTTAAAATATACTAAACTAAACTGTTCAGTTAGTATAAACAAATATTTCTGTTATAGAATAGAGAAATGTGTTTTGCAAAAGCAACTTTTGCAAAAGCAAAAAAAAATTTTTTGTTGTATAAAAAATATTTGGTTCCTGTTAAAAAATATCTCAATCAAACAGTTTGTTCAAGGCGCTAAATTCATTTTCCTAGTGTAAGAGGGAATATAAAATTCATCAATAATCTTTTCAAGTAGTGTGTGTGTGTGTGTGTGTGTGTGTGTGTGTGTGTGTCCACGTTGTCTTTTATATTAAAAATCACTGTCATAACAACTGTCGCTTTCTTATTAAATTCAAAAACGCAAGTTAACACGTTGTAAACCTAGTATAGAAATATTAAATACATAATGATTATAAACACCGACTAATTGCCAGCTTAATATTACGCAGACACGAATCGTTTGACTTCTAGTAATATATACACCGACTTGGCCAAAATTCAAACATGAATAATTCGAGGAATATGTAGACATTAGTCGTGAGCGTGGCAGATGTTGAAACATTACTCGTCCGTGTAATTCAAATATTTTGAGGCGTGTAATTTTGTTTTGATCTCAAATGTTTCCGTATATCAACGTCGTTTATGCCCCGTCTATCGTATAAAGCTCTACCAACGTACCTTTACAGAAATTTAATACTGGTCAATTTAACAAAAGAAATAATAAATAATTTTAATATTTATAGAGTACTAGAAAAACTGAACAGTGTTTTTAATATTTAAAATAAGATAATTAATTATTATCTTTCAGTATCGGACTTTTATTATTTAATATTAGATTTCTTGTAAGGATAAATTAACTTTTTCGATTTAATTTACTTTTTATCTTCTTCCAGTTCTAAAAATTAAAAAAAGATAAAGAGTAAATTAACCCGAGATAAAAGTTAATCCATATATTGATAAAAATAGGTAGTGAGTTTAGTTCAGCAATTTGCTCTCTCTCTCTCTCTCTCTCTCTCTCTCTCTCTCTCTCTCTCTCTCTCTCTCTCTCCCTTCTCGGATTATAGTTTTATATAATACATGACATAAACCCAAAGGAGAAAAACTTATTGCGGCCAAAGTTAGCTACAAGTGACGTTGGTGCAACCGAGTCTAAGTAAGCTAATACACCCGAATGCTCTCGCAGGTCGTCGATGGCAGCCAAGCGTCATTGGATGCCGACGATCGTCGTCGGCGGCACATCCTCGTCGAGTTACTCGTGTTTGAATTTCGCTCAGCTCGAGTGAGCTCGGTCGATCGTTCGCGAGCGCCAGCCTTAGAAAGGCGCAGGCCTTGCAAGAACATCTGGGAGCGTTCGAGACACGCGTTACGTCTGTGCCCCTTTAAAAGCTAAAACTACCACTGTGAGTCCGCCACCCGCCACCACCGCGATGTGGGTCACCGGTGCGCAAGGGACGAAGCCGACGAAGGAGCGGCGGAGGGAGGAAAAGAGACGATAGGTCTCGTCTCGGGTCGGGGAATATCGTCTTTCGCTCGAGTGCCCGGTGTATCGTGTATACCAATCACTTTGTTCCGACATTAGCCTAGACGCGATTACTTTGTGAATTACCCACGTTTAACAATTAAAGTCTTGCCGAAATATTCTCGATAATCCGCTTGTTGTGGAGCGAGTCGCGGAACGACGTTCGATCGATATAATAGCGTTTAGCGGAACGGAATGTATAGGAAAAAAAAGAACCGAGAGTATCCAGACGATACAGAAGCCAGATTGACTTTTGCGTGTTTGTGGGAAACAACAGAATAACAGAAATGAAAATAAACGTGTGTTAATTAGAAATGAAAATAAAGCGTGCGTTTTATGAGTCTTCAGGAAAATTTTTTCTGGTTTATTTTACTGGTTGTGCATGGAAAGAATGGTTTTATTTGCGCGCGCCGAAGTATATAAAAATTAGGACATAAACGGAGAGATTTGAAAATTACTATGTTGTACCGTCATAATAATTATGTAGGACGCTCAAGCGTAGTGATAATGAACTATGAGAAACTTCATCCAAGTGCATACAAATATAATTTTATCCTCGTTTATTTGGTGAGAATGGACAAGAATAGAATAATAATACCCTAAATTCGCGAATTCCTAAATTATTATTATTTAAGCATCTTACATAATTATTTCGATGGTCCAATATAATTATTTTCAGATCTGTTCTAATTTTTATATCAATGCACTAAATTTGCGGCATTACATAACGGTGCAAAAAATTTTGACATTCTGTCAACCAACTTGGGCGTTCTACATAATTATTTCGACGGTCTAACATAATTATTGCCAGATTTATAACTAATTAAAATTTTTTGATATTTCAGCAAAACCTGTTTTTTTTCCGTGTTCTTTCCTAAAATTTCACGTCAAAATTCTATTTCGTTAGAAATAGAAGCCCTTTCGAAAAAAAAAACTATCAGATTCGAAAGGGTTGAAATTAAAGTCGTTCGTTTCTCGCGTCTATCGCGAAATTAATGGGAGGGATCTTTGGGCAGGACAACTTTAATTGAAACGCGCACGATATTTCACAGATATCCCACATCGCCGTGACATTTGTTTTTTTTTTCTCTTTTGTCACGAACTCGCGACAATGAGCGAAATCCTTTGACTCATTCGCGGATAGAGTTACCAGCCGTACATGTATTCTTTTCGAGATCGTAAAACTTTTCTGGTCTCATCGATTAAAATTTTACATTTCTAAAAATTACATTAGTAAGAATTGTCAAAAAAAAAATGACGTTCTAGAAATGTTATTGTATTTAAATATGTGCATTTAACGCATAAAAAATTATATACTCCTTCCATCCCCGAACTATCGTTTTTTTTTTTTTTTTTTTTTTTAAGGGTGTACATTCCCATTCTTTTTTCATGATCCAAATACGATAACTCCTATATTCACGGAGTATATTTTATTTACGTACCGATAAATAGTAGGCAGTGGATAAGAATCGTCGTCCTCCATACTGCTGTTCGTGTTCGCGTTGTTGTTCGTGTCATTTCCCGCTGTCGAGGTATTGCCAAGATTACACAGCATTAATCGTGACATCGCTGATGCCGTTGTGGAATGTTTCAGTCTAAATTTGGAAACACTTTCGGAGGGAGGGAGGACGTACAGAGCAGGCCGATATCACGGTGTGGACAGGGTACACACGTACCTGACTCCTAATGCGGCAATCATGCCCGTTGGAACGCGCTTTATGAAATCTCGAAGGCTCCCCGGCCGCGTATTTTATTTTAACGAAACGCTCTCCTCTCCGTCTCGCTGCTCGTACCGCGCTCTCTGCCTTCGCCTCGACACTTGGGCGCGATCTTTGGCGCGTGGCGAATGGGCATCGCAATATTGTAATCCGAAACTAATCCCCGAGATATATACGTGTATGTACAGACTATGGGTGGATCGATCGAATTGATACGAATCAATCTCGTGATTATTGCACGTGCGACGCGTATAGGCACTAATTAAATTTTCCCTTCCCTCACATATGCACACACAGTTAAGAAATCACACGCTTAGGCACCACTTTCTTTCAAGAGCATGTACAACTTGCACAGAGTTTTTCTCTCGCGCTAGCAGTCAGCACAGTCCGCGCTCGGGAGAGGGAGGAGGTGGGGTGTCATCGGTGGTTCCTCCTTCGCGGTTTCCTCGATAACATCGTCCGACCTCCGCGGATCTCCGCAGACCGGATCGAGACGCTCGCGAGAGACACGGGTTCACGTGTATGGTCGATATGAAACTACAGGGAGATTCGGTCTACCCCTAACCGTCGGCCGTCGATGTGCAACGAAAGGCAGGGTGCATCGAGGATGCCGTCGGGTGCGACGGCGACGATCGCGAACTGCAGTTGTCAAAAAAAAGGAGGGAGGAGGGGTTGTTACAGTTTCGCGTTACGATCCGTCATCATCGGTAGTCACCCCACGATCGCGTTGGCGCTACGTCACGAGGACCGGTGCTACTCGGTCGCCGCCGGTGCCCGTCGCCGTGCAACCCGCGGACGTCGATTCCCGTAACGCGCGTGTCGCGGGTCACGTAACGCGCGCGGCGACGATAACGGGCATTATCGGACGGCCGCGGATCGGACGCGAGCATTAAGGAGTTCGCGCTTGCGGGCCGATCAAGCGGCGCGGCGCGGCGCGGCAATAACGAGCTTTCATAAAGGAACACACACAAATCTCGAACGGAACATCGGTAAAAATGGGGGAAAGTGAGTGTGAGGATGGGAGAAAGAAAGTCTGGTGAGAAAGAGAGAGAGAGAGAGAGAGAGAGAGAGAATGAGTGAGAGAGAGAGAGAGAGAGAAAGAGACGGCGAGTGTCGTGCTCCCCGCACGTAGGTAACACTGCGCGCACACCGCTCGACACCCGCTGCCGATTCCCACCTTTCTCCTCTTTGGTAGCGGAGGAGCGCGACGCAACCCCCGTGCAACCCTCTAACCTCCCCACTATCCTCCGTCATGATGGTGGGCTGCTGCGCGCGCCCCTTTACCTTCTCACTGTATGCGCGCGCGCGTGTCTCTCCAACTCCCGCGCTAAAAACGTGAAATTTGTCGCGGAAGGCGCACGAGAGGTGACACGAGTTAAGCTATCTCTACATATAGGTTTGCTTTCCCATTTAGTTATTTGTGACACAAATCAACACAAATCGTCGTTCTATCTCTCTTCGCCTTTTCCTACGAGTAGTAAAGATAGAAAGGATCAGTTGTGGGTCGACTTGTATTACGGAAAGCGTCCGTAATTCGCAATCTGATTTAAATTTAAATGTCAACGCTTCCAATGTCAATGCTGTTGCAGCATTCAATTCACTGCGTACGGTTAGTTCGCATTTGCGTTTGTCTTGAGATGCGGCGATTCACCGTCATTCTACGTATGCGTCTTGCGAAGTTACGTAGAGACAAACTTTAATAACAACCGTGCGAATTCAACGTTAGCTCCGGTGACGTCTGACCGTGTCTGACCTCGAATCCTCGACTTACGACACCGTCGCAAATCGACTCCCACGCAGCAACCCCAAGACACATGTCCGAAACATAAGATGTGAAAACATAAGAATGTTTTAAAAAATCCTTAAAAAACGTTTGAAAGTTATTTTTTTTAAAGACGCTTTAGACATCTAAAAGACATCTTTGGAACTTCCGTAATATCTTAATTTTGGATTTTTTGTTGTTTGTACATTTTATCCAAGGAACCATCCTGCACTAAGAAAAATGTCTGGTTGGTATTAATCGGATTAACTTTCGCGCCATTTTGATGTCACGATGACTCGTGTTTTTCTCTCTTATTATATTATTCTCATAAAAATGAACACGAAAAATACTATAGTATATCTTACGTATATTATAGATTTTCATACGCGGTATAGATTCAAGAATATACGAGTAGGCCGTAGCACATCGCGCGGGACGAATCGAACAGTCTGAATTCTGAACAAATCGAGGGATTTTCGAGGGACCTTCAATAAGAATTCGGTCTAACATGAGAAAAGGGAGAAAGAGAGAGACACTTCTTTTTATTCTTCGTATATCGTTTTACGAAACTGGCAAGAAGTTGCCGATTCGATGATTTCGAAAACGCGACGTTCGTCGTCGTCGTGCTAACGCACGACTCAGCATTATTCTATCGAGCATTATTCTAGATTCTATCTTCCGCATCGCCAACGACGCATGCGCGCGTTAAATTTCCTTTTGGAGGAATTACTGGAACGACGACCGCGGTGCTCGTTTTTCTATGATTGCACACCTTCTCTTGTATAAATTAAGCAAACAAAAGCGCGTTTTGATGCCATTGAACGCAATCACGATTGAGAACTTTTAGAAATTTATCTTTCCTTTCCTTTCTCACGAATGAGTCTAGGATATTACCGGCAATTATAAGTGAAAAAAGAGATGTTCTAAAAAAAATTTTTTTTTTTCCTGCACACGAGAGTAGTACAGCCTTGGCCATAAAGTACTTCCACACAAACGTTCTATAATCTGACGAAACATAAACTGAAAATTGATTTTATCGGAAAGTAATATTTATTTTCATATCGAGATTTTAATATTTTGTTAGTCCGCCTTTGGCTTTTATTATCCCCTTTTCCAAGAAAAAGGCCAATAATGGCCGAAGGCAGTCAATTTTTCCTTATGTAATAAATTGAGGGTGCTTCGTACTGGCTAAGGTATACTATACATCACTGTATAGTACAAGCAAAAGGAGTTAAAAGTCATAGTAAAATGATTCTAATATAATTTCACTTTTGTCAAAATTACCCTCTCTTCTTCAATCAAAAAGTAGATTAAACAATCTAATATAAGTAATCAAGGAACACATCGAATCAAGAGAAATGATTTTATTTTAACGTCATAAGAGTAAAAAAAATAATGATTTTTTCGTAACAAAAATTGACTATTTAAACGTCAAAATAAAGTCATACTGATTTTTATATTGGCTCTTGCGTGTTCCTCGGGTAAGAGCATCTTTTTGGATGCTTTAGATACTTATGCTTATAAGCTTATTGACAAAAAGTATCTCTAAAAGAAGCATATTTGAAGAGACGGGAAAACGTGTGAGTGTATGTGTGTGGCGCGCGCGCGCGCGCGCGTGTGTGTGTGTATAACGTTCAGCGCTATCCCTCCCCGCGCGGACAAGTCCGACACAATCGCGCATACACAAGCACGCACACAAACGGAGGTATAATCGGCGTAGGAAGAAGGGTTTTGTGAATCAACGGTCTCAACGGCAACGCCGCATTGCAGATCCGCCGCGCCGACACGCAACTGAC